CTTTATACTTCAAAGAGAGAACACTTAACAGTGGAGTAAAATACTGCACAGAGGTCACTAGCCCTTTGGTACAAGCCATGAAGTAACATGTTCATAGCAGTGCTGAGTTTAGTAAAAGGCAGAAGATAAAGATGTCACTGCCTCATTCTTACATGCAACTATCACCATGTACCCAAAAGTTCGCACGATCATACTGCAGTCCAGAAACTTCCTTCGGATTATAACTCCTGTCCTCCTTTTGGTTTTCCACCTCACATTGATCCTTTCCTCCTCTCCTCACCTCCTCCCACAGAATTAATGGTCTGTCCCCCATGTTCCTGGGCATTCTATACATTCCTTGGCTGCAGCTCATGCCCTATATTTTTGCGCAAGTCTGTCGTCCACTCTAGACAAGGAGATCCTTGGGAACAGGTGCCCTACCTTGCTTATCATAGTAGGCATTTAATAAATGACTAGATAATTTAGTAATGGATGAATAATATGTACAGAGGCCTAAACGTTAACACTTACAGCTGTCAAATTCTCTGGTTTACCAAAACTTCTACAAGCCGTATCTCATCCTGATTTTATAGGTACAGACCTGAAGGCTCTGAGACATTCAGTGAACTCTTAAATCCATCCGGGTATTAAAATGGCAAGATCCAGAACCTGAATTCTGTGCTTTCTTTCTGGAGAAAACAGATGGCTGTCATTATTTCGTTTTCAAACAGTGATTTCTACGGTATTTAAAAAAATCATCCTAGTCCCCTCCCCCATCCCAAAATACCACTCCATACTAGAGTTTTTATTTCTTTTGATGGCTGAGAATATGAAAGGACACTCAGATGATGCCCTATTAATGTTTCCCTTACTGAAGTAAAAGCTCCTCACAGGCAGGGGTCATCTCAAATTTACCTCTGCATCCTCCCCTATTGCCTGGAATACTGACTCAGACATGGGAGAGCCAATAAGTAACAATGAATCGACAAACCCCAACTCTGTAACATATAGTTAGGAACTGGGAGCAAGAGGCTGCCTGCAAAGGCATTGGCCTAAACATTTGACTCCTGGGTGCAGCAGCAAGTTCCAAGGTTCCAAATGTCAAGGGAATAATCAAGTGGCCCCTGGGTTCAGCCATGGCTCTGCACCAGCCCCACAGTCAGCTACCCCTTGACCTGCAGGCCCCTCCTCTTCCCAGCCCCTATGCGCAACTCCTTTAATCAAGGTTAACAAGCAGCCCTGGCAATTGGTCCCCAGAAGGCTGAGAAAGGAGTGTTAAAGATGAGGATCTTTTTCCTTTCTCCCTAGGGTGAGAATAGCCTGGCAAAGACCAGGCAGGTAACAGGAGGAGGCTGTGCTAAAACAAGAGAAGCACAAAAAAGAGATAGGCTGTATGAGAAAATTCTCCCATTTTCCCCTGAACTTGCTGCTTTGACACAAGAAAGCCCAATTTCCCTTCCAAACAAATCAGGCCATAACCTTGATCCAGCTCCCGACAACTGGGCAAAGGAATAGATCCCACTGCCCAGTCCATCAGAACAGCCATGTGTGAGTGGACAGAACATGCACACACCTTCTCCATTCTTCTGTGGCAAATGCTATGACTCCAATCTTATAAACTGGCCAGAAAGATACCTGCACCTTTACTCAAGTATTCAGGCAGGTGAGGAGAGAGATACTGTTACACAACTGTCTAAGTTCTGCCCATCCTGCCAGACCTCAGTGTATCCTGACAGCCCCTGTGTCAGTGTATTTAAATCAAGCTCTCACCACTTCCTTGGCACAGGTCTCTTTTACATTCTTGATATCAGTTAGCCTGTATCACTCCAGCTCTCCTGATCACTGAGACAGGTTAGAGCTGGTGTAACTGAGAAGCAAGCATGCAGTCTGGAAGGCCCTAATATACAGCTATAATTGCCAAATGTTACTGTTGAGGCTCATGATTACATATTAGCCAAAACACGCTTGTCAAAATCTCCTTAGGCTGAGGAGTCCTTAAACCCCAACATCCCGATCTCGGCAGAGTATTTTTAAGCACCCAGTGCCCCACCCCACCACGCAGTAGGATAACTCATAAAAGGCAGTGTGGAGAGAACAGACAATTTGTGGAGAGCAACACAAACAATCTATGGGGCTTAACAGACACATTGATATCACTAGCGTGAGGCCAGCTAGCCACCTCCCCAAGACGTGGCCTTTAGTTTTCTGCCCACGACCAAAACAGCAGCAGCTGTTGCCAAGGGAGACAAGGTGACCCAGAGGCGTGGGCACAAAATCCACGGATGGAAATCCATTTTGTCTGGATCCGCCCAAGCAACTGGGTATCCCTAACGGAGAAAAGATGAAAAAAGAAGAAAAGATGAAAAAAGCCTTAGCAGTAGGTCCTTGCCGGGCAGATAGACGATGCCCCCAGTCCCAACAGGATCGTAAGAAGGCCAGGGGGCGACGTAGCTTGAACTCTCAGAAACATCCAAAGCGTTCATATGCCTCAAGCTGCAGAGAACTTTGGAAGAGGAAAAGCAGGCCAAAGCTATGTGCTCCCAGAGGGCAAACTTTTACCAAGGCAGGGGGAAAGCGAGGCTTCTCCTCCAGGCTGTCAGCAGCCCACACACTGAACAGTAGCAAACTTCTAACAAAGATCCACACTGCCCTCCATCCCCTGGCTCCACTCCAGTTAATAGTCCTTTAGCATTCAGCAAAGAATGTATTCAGAACCTTCAGAGTAAACAGCAGCGTGGTGTAGGAAAAGGAGCACCCTGGGTCAGAATCCCATGTCCATGATAGCAAGATTTTTCACTTCCTTCCTCCAAAGTTTTCTCAACTTTAAAAATGAGATAAATCTTAAGCCTAACAGCCTTATCTGTTTTCTGGGAGTTTCTTTCTTGATTTCATAAAACCCTGTGAAAGTGCTCTGTAAACTCTAAAACACTTTACACAGCCGATCGTTTTATCATTGATA